TATTCAACCAATTATCTGAATGCAAATTCTTCTATATGGCATAGAGCTTGATGGCGTGTAGCTTTCTTCAGACCTGTATATATACTAAAGCTAAACATCTCACATGATCAACGTTAATGATCGTGACTTAATTTTTTGAATCCACGTAATTTTTTGAGAATTGCAAACAAATCTCTGCTCATAAGATTAGTATGGTAACGTGTTGGACGTTAGAGGTTCTATAACATAGTATTAGCAGACATTTAGAGCTGTTTTATTTCTCTATGGATAGAATTTCTAGAAGAAAGATAACGCTTTAAAAAATATCACTTAAATCTGATTTTCTTTTCTCGGTATTCAACACTTCGTTGTGGTTGTCGTACTAAATGCAGAGGTGGTAAAAATTTGAAACTTTTGCAATATGCGATCTTAAACTGAGAAGCCTCCGTAGGGAAATAATAAACAAATTATTAACGAGAAGCTTAGGCAACAACACCTAATTCTTTCTTTTTATCCCATTAAGTCACGAGTTAGAGTTAAAACAATTTGTTTTTTTTTTGTGAAAGACAAAATTGAATCTTTAAATTGGGCGTTTTACTACTAATGGATAGATCTAATGGACTTAGAATGAATAATACAACTGAATCTACAAGAAACGGCAAAAAATTAGGCTTGACTAATTGATCTGCATAACCTCTCAATACCCCCTACAAGTGTTAGATATTAAAACTGTTGAGATCAAACTATATAATGCATTGGTCCAGTATTCTACAGTATAGTAGTTCAGTGAACGATTTCAAAGTATCTTGCGGTTATGCAGCACTCGTCAAAACATCCTTCAAAGATTAGGCTGCTGATATCGCGTTTTTGTTATCAGTAGAGCTAAGTTCATGCAATTTGTGGTCACCAACTTATCTTATCGCTGGGCCAAAATTTGATAATACAATGGTTCGACCATAGAAACGTAAACAGCAATTGATACGGCATGCAGCCCTAGCTGATAGCCGTAAACTATCAATACGCTTCTTGCATCTTCTAGTTTGCAGGGTGACTGAAACAACATTTTCCTGCAGCCAGTTCGTTTTTTCTGCTTTTCATCAAGATTTGATCTTCTCTTCTAATTCGCCAAATTCGAGATTCCATAATTCTTTCCCCTAAGCTGACCGTATAATTTCAGATGGTCCACTATAAGCTCACATACTTCGACGGCCGTGGAGCGGCAGAAGTTATTCGTCAGGTATATACTCCTAAAATGTCCAATGCTCGTGATGAAACATTCCAGGTTTTCACGCATTTAGATCTTTGTCCTCGCCGACGAAAAGTTTGAGGATGTTCGCTATACTCACGAGGAATGGCCAAAGCATAAATCTGGTAGTGGCGTTTTGTAACTAAAGAGTTGCCTATTTCTTAGTAATTTGTTTTTAGAAATGCCATTTGGCCAAATGCCAGTGCTTGAAATCGACGGTCAACAGCTCGCACAGTCTCATGCTATTGCTCGATTTCTTGCGAAGAGATTTGGTGAGTAGAGAGGTGGACGTTGGTACTGAAATATCATTTCAACAATTGTTTTAAGGACTCGTTCCTAAGTGTCCCTTTGAGGAAGCTCT